CTGGCTATTATTTGATTACTGAGAGTCTGAAAAGCCATTTAACGTCTTCATTCCAATTCTATTTTCTGTAAAATTGAGGGTAGCATTATTCATCTCAGAAAGAAGTGACAAATAGGTTTAAAAGTATTTTCTCCCATTCTGTAGCTTGTGTCCTCACTTAGTTAATTGTTTTATTTTCTGTACAGAAGGTTTGTAGTTAGATGCACTCCAATTTGTTTATTTTTGCTTTTTGACCTGTGCTTCTGGGGTCATATTCTCCCCAGAATTGCCCAGATCAATTTCAAGAAGGTTTTTACCTATGTTTTCTTCTAATAGTTTTATAGTTTTAGGTTTTACATGTAAATCTTTAAGCCCTTTCTACTTGGCTTTTGTATGTCATGTAAGATAGAGATCCAGTTTCGTTCTTCATGTAGATATCCAGTTTCCCTAGCCTCCTTTATTGAACAGTCAATCCTTTCCTCATTGTGTATTCTTGGCACATTTGTTGAAAATTAATTGACCATAAACGTGTGCATTGATTTGTGGGCCATCTATTCTGTACCATTGGTCTACATGTTTATTTAGAGGTTGATATCCAATGTATACCAGGAATTTAAACACCTCTGTAGCAAGAAAACAAATAACGTAATTTAAAAGTGGACTCAGTCTATCAGCAATAAACATGATAAATATTTCTTGAAAGAAAACAAATGGCCGCCAACAGGTAAGTTTAAAAGTGCTCAACTTCACTAATCGTCAGGGAAATGTGAATTAAAACCACAATGAGATATCACTGCATATCTGTTAGAATGGTTATGTTCAAAAAGACAAAAGATAAGTGTTGATGACAATGTAGAGGAAAGACAATCCTCATATACTACTGATGGAAATGTAAATTAGTATAGCCGTTATGGAAAACAGTATGTAGGTACTTCAGAAAATTAAAAATAGAACTACCATATGATCCAGTAGTCTTACTTCTGGGTATGGATATGTAAAAGAAATGAGTCAATATCTTAAAGAGATATCTGTAGTATCATATTCCTTCCAGTACTATTCACAATAAACAAGATATATGGAATTGACCTAACTGCCAATTAGCAGATGTATGGATAAAAAGTAAATAAAAATATATTTATATATAAATATATAATAGAATATTATTCAGCCTTAAAAATGAAGGAAACTCTCATTTGTGATAATATGTATGAACCTGGAGGACATTACGCTAGGTGAAATAAGTGAGACATCAAAAGACAAATGCTATTTGATCCCTCTTATATGTGGAATCTAAGAAAGTCAAAACTTCTAGAAGCAGAAAGTAGAATGTTAGTTGCCAGAAGCTAGGGAGATAAGAAAAATGGGGAGATGTTGATCAAAGGGTGCAAAGTTTCAGTAACGCAGGATGAGTAAATTCTGCTAATCTAATGTACAGTCGGGTAACCACAGTTAACAATACCGTATTATATACTTCAAATTTGCTGTAAGAGTAGATCTTAAATTTTCTCACCACACAACACAGTAAAAGATAACTGTATGATGGATATGTTAATTAGCTTTATTGTGGTAATCATTTTACATTGTGTGTGTGTATATATATATAAACATCAGGTAATAGGGATACTGAAAAGCCTGTTTTTAATTTATGTTTACATTAAAAATAAACAATGAAACTAAAGCATTTGAGAACATTAGATCACTTTATCTCACTTTTTTCATCTATAGTATTTTAGAATGAATTTACTTTTATAAATTTTGAAAGAATCTTTGTGGACTAAATTGTTTACAAATCTTTAATTATATTTAATTTCATTTTAACTCACAGTAACTGAAGTCATTTAAAAAACGAAAGCAAAGGACAGAACCTTTAAACTCCTGTTTTCAAAATATAGCTAGTCTTTAAACAATCAATATTATAATGCATCCTATATAAAAATAGTATTCCAGAGATTGAATCTAACTTTTTCCATTTTATTTTTAATAATCATAATTTATAATGAACTTTTGATGCAAACATAGTAATAGAATCATAAATTATTTTGAAAGGTGGATGTTATAAATTTCTGCTGTTTTATATTGAACAATGATGATAATGACTATAAATATAGGCATAACATTTTTTGTTTTATATACCACCGAACAGACACTATCTCATTAATTAGAAGGCTTTCTTGACTCATCTTCAGTTAATATTAAATAAGCTATTTGGATCTCACAATGGTAACTATTATTTACAAGAGATAGTTGCTTTTATAATTTTCTTACATATAGATAAATAGTAATTTACAACTCAATAATATATAATATATAAATTGGTCAATGCACTTTTAGGTAAATAGATAGATAGATATGGATAGACTCCAGGTTATGTTTTCTAATCTAATCTATATAAACATAACCATTTGAAATCCCTATTGATTCAGCACAGCTTTCTATGCAACATATACTTCCATAATTATAAATTTTAACTATTATGCTCTGGTCAGAAATGAGTAGTAAGCTGATCTGTTTATATCATACATTGATTATTTAAATAAAAGATTTACAGTTGCCTATTTATATCTGAAAATTACAAGAGTAGATATTGTTTCTAAATACATTTTTGAAATTAGAGGTATAGTAATTAAAAAGGTTTAGTAATAGGGAATAAAGTGACTGTAGACCAAGATAAGAAGAAAAGGAGATATGTATAAATATTCACACATCAGAATTAATATTACGTTTACAGAATATTTACATCATATTAAATTTTATAGTGCCACTTTTCCATTATGTCTATGTTGAATGTGTTCCTGATAATTGCTAATTTTTCTATAACAAATACAAAAATAACTTTATGAGTTCATATCCCTGCCTATTGTATTAAAAACCTTAGATGGATTTATGAGGTTGTATATTCAAGGTGTAATGTGAAAATTGTATTGTTTTAATTGCTAAAAACATGTCACTTGACTTGAAGAGCTTATTCAAATAATTTCTTTTTAATATGAAAGATCTGCTATTTTAAGAAGGTGTGAATACACCAAAACATCAAGATAACATATTTGTGAGCACATGTGTCAGGACAGTCACATTTACCTTAATGTTATTATACATTTGTCTGATCATCAGCCTCTGACACAGAAAATCCTTACAACTTGTTAACTCTCAGTATTAGCTGTTATGCTAAATTGCCTGATGAGTATGGAGCATTAGCTTTTATTCATCTTTCACTGATAACACATAATATATTTTTCAACTTAAGAAATTCATTAATGAATCAAATTTAATTTACGGACTAAATAAAATCCTCGTTAAGCCTGACAAATGGTAGCCTCAGGTAAACACAACGTATTTTTACACTAAATCAAAGTGAGTTCTGCTCTAGATGTTCTTTATGTTGCCAGTATCCTTGCAAGTATTCTGAGGTCACATCAGAGAACAGAACATCTCCGTAAGGAATTAACAGAAAAATCTAGCCTTGAGGTTATATTTCTGAAATGAATAAACAAGAACCTAAAACACGGGAGATAATTAGAGTATCACATGTTATAGACTTAGTGCCAATATTATGGGTAGGAAAAACCATTAGTTTTTTATAGAAAAATACTTAAGGATAAATTTTTGAATTTAGAACGTTGCTGAATGAAATTCACAGTAATTAGTCCACCGTGAATATGAGTATCTTTTTCAGAATTATAATTAATTTCAACATGTTTGTTTTTCCCCATGAATTAATCAATTCAGATTTATTTAGCCTAATTGCCACAAAAGTGCCCAAGTTTGTATTCATATTTTTTTTTTCTCTTTTTCTGTGGTTTAGAAAGATTTATTTATTTATTTATTTATTTATTTATTTATTTATTTATTTATTTTTGTGGGGACATAGTCGTTGTGTGTATTTATGGAAACATGAGATATTTTGAAAAAGGCATGTATTGTGTAATAATCACATCAGGGTAAATGGGATATTCATCACCTCAAGCATTTATCGTCTGTGCTACAATCCGTGTATGATCTTTAGTTATTTTTAAATGTACAATTAAATTATGTTTGACTGTAGTCACCCAATTGTGCTGTCAGATACTAGGTCTAGGTCTTATTCATTCTTTCTAACAATTCTTGTACCCAGGAACCATCCTCACTTCCTCCCCTCCCTACCCCTCATTCCCCTCCCATCTTCTGGTAACCATCTTTCTACCCTATAGCTTCATGGGTTTAATGGCTCCCATAAATAAGAACATGCAAAGTTTGTCTTTCTGTACCTTATTTCACGTAACATGATAACCTTCAGTTTCATCTTATATTTATGTTTTAATAGTGGTATGTCATTATTCTTTTTACAAATTTAAAGTCATTATTTTGTAGTATAAGATATTGACCTTTGTGATAAGTAATCCATGAGGATCGTATCATTATTTGGCTGAACAAAAGGACATGACAGTTAGTTCCTAAAATGGTTTTAATAAGTAGTAATATTATATTAATTTTTACAAAATAAATTCAAATACTCATTTTAATATTTAAATATTAACTTTTTACTAATTTGTTAGGCTCAGATAAAGCTTTTCAATACCACTTTTCATACCTTTAAAATGAATGTCATCATAGTCAGTGAATTTATTTTACAACTGCCTAATATACTCTGTGGTTATATTTTCTAAAATCTTTTTTTTTTTTTTTTTTTTTTGTACTGGAGTGAGTCTTTCCTATCAAATAGTCTTTCCTACTTGTGTTCATATTGGCAATATCCTGTGGACCAGTTAGTGTTGCTTCAGCAATATTTCACTTCTAACTAGAAATTACGCTGTATTCAACCAAATTTTAAATTAGTTAATATGAGCAAGCTGAATAGATTGATTTTAATGTCTAGTTTCTAAAAACTGTACTACAGATATTTTCTTAATAGGCCTAAAGCCCCAAATTAAGCAAAACCTTATTCAAATCTGTATAACAGGAACTGAAATAAAATTAGTGTTGATGTTGATAATAATTTAACTTTGCGTAAGCTTACTACTTCTTTTCCTTTCTTTTGACTTCAGATGCAATAACAGAACCCAGTGTGCAGTGGTGGCAGGTCCTGATGTTTTTCCAGACCCGTGTCCAGGAACCTATAAATACCTTGAAGTGCAGTATGAATGTGTCCCTTACAGTATGTATATTCCTATACTTTTCTTGGAACGACAAACGATATTAAACTGTGTTTTGCATGCATTGACAAATATTCTCTATGAAAACATAAATCACATAAATTAAATGAAAAAATGGGCTAATATTAGTTTTTGACAATCATAGACCCTCCCCGCCATCAGAAGAATTAGATATTGCCTACCCTATCCTACAGCGTTTACTTGTGATTATTTATGTATATGAATACCTATTCTAACACACTTTTCTTAATTAATGCAAGAATATAAAACATTTAGAAAAAGGTTGGGGGAGTATTATACCAATTATCCAGGTCCAAGCAGATAAGTGAAAATGAACAATACAATTATATATATAATGTATAGCAATTTATACATTTTGAATTTGATAGAAGAATTATATCTAAGCTTCATCTGCTGTCAACATTTTGAGAATTAGAAATATATTCATCCGGAAGGAGTAGACCAGAAAGAAAAAAATAAAGATTAAAAGATCTAAAGTACTCTTCAGACTATATGTTTTACAGCTTCAAGAATTATGTCTTTGCAATGTTTTTATCAGATATGGTATATGCCAACAATGTGTCTTTTCTCCAGGAATAATGAAGAATCAAAAAATCTAAAATGAAACATTTTCTGACAGCATCTCAAAAAAAAAAATTATCTAACTCGTTAATTATTTATGAGATTCTTAGTGAAAATCACTCAGAAATTATGTATTTTCATAATAGATATTCAGCTTATCCCAGAGATAGAAAACACCTGGTATCGTAAACAAATCCTAGGTTTCGACTTCCTTTGATGTTTCATAAGAAGCAAAGTATCTGGGGATCAGCAAGTTTACTTTTGTAAAGATATTTCTAGGCTGGCCTCATTCACACTTATTAAAGAAGCAGGACATTACTCGTGAGCTGGAAGTATACAAACTTCAGTGATAGAAATTTGGCCAATAAGAGATGAATTGAAATTTTAAAATAGTAGTGAAAACAGTTGAGAGAAAATTTCATTCAGCTTCATTTATAGAATGAATGATTAGAGAAAGTTTATCTTGTGAAGTTTTATAAGCTGATCATTGTTATGAAAAAGCCTTAGAGTACAGGATTTATTGATAGCTCATTTAGCTTACGCTTCTTGTATTGGTATCTCTATAGGCCCTTCTATTTGATAAAGCCCCTACTGGCCATTATTATTCACTAGTGATATTTTAAGGAAATAAAATTTGTAAACCATCTTGGAATTGGGACAATTATACTTGGGTTGCACAATAAGACCTTTGTGAAATATAAAGACTCCTTTTCTACAAAGGCATTTTATTTAAAAATGCAATAAGGTGAACCTTGCTTTTAAAGACAGTTTTAGGAAACTTACATTCATATTTTTATGTTCATATTTTGAAACAAAAGGTGAAGTAAAATTTCAGATTGTAGATTTTATCATAATTTTTTAATTAAAGAATTTCACAGCTGTCTCTTCAATTTCCTGTATTCCTTTAAAATGTCTTTGAGGATAGCCACTTCAAAATCCTCTGCCAAACTCATTCTGAAATATCATCTACTTAAATCACTTTAATATAAGTAACTTGCTCATACACTTTTGCATAAAGGGATTATGGTTTACCACAGATTTCCTTTCTCTAATAAATTTTCAGAGATGGGCAATTTGGTTCCTTAATATCCTATATTTAGAGAATTCTGATCATCCTGAAAGTTTACTGACTACCTTAGAAATTATATCAAAATATGTATCTAATAATTTCATTAAATAAGAATTATACACTCAGGTATACCCACTTGCCAGTTTATATACTGGTTTAATTTACACATTGTACCCCGATCGTGTCTGTTTAAATTATCTGGAATATGTTTCAGTTAAAAGTATGATGTAGAATTGGAATTCATTTAATAAACTTAACATGATTTGAAAAGAAAATAACCTAAAAGAAAGTATAAATCATAAAATAAACTATAGTTACTCATTTGAAAGGCAGATTGGTTTAGGAGAAAGACAACCAGAGATCAGAGAACATAGGTGTGTTTGTTAGTCTGTTTTGTGTTGCTATAAAGGAATACCTCAGACTGGGTAATTTAGAAAGAAAAGAGGTTTATTTGGCTCACAATTCTGCAGGCTGTACAAGCAGAGCACCAGCATCTCCTTCTGGTGAGGCATCGCGGAGATTTTACTCATGGTATAAGGTGAAGGGGAGCAGGTACATCATATGGCAAGAAAGGGAGCTCCCAGACTCGGTTTAATAACCAGTTCTCACATGAACTCATTACCATGGGGAGGGCATCAAGCCATTTATGAGGGATCTGCCCCCATGACACAATCATGTCCTGCATAGCTCACCTCCAACACTGGAGGTCACTTTTCAGCATGAGATTTGGAGGGGACATACATACAAACTATATCATTCGGTTTAGAATACAGTCTGATTACTTAACAAAAAGCTAGGTGCTTCTCCTGGATCTCACCTTGTAGACCTTCCTGGATCTATTAATAAATCCTGATTTATTTCAACACTCAGCTATTTTTTTCTTTTCTTAAGCATAAAATTCATGACTCTCTAATGGTGAAAAGATTTACTTATTTAAAAGAGTTATTGTTTATTGACACTTAACCACATGCCATTTTCTACATGGATAGTGTTTACATGCATAAGTTATTTAATTTTTACAAGATCCTCCCTGTTATGTGTGAGTATCACCATTTTTCTGAAGAGGAAACTGAAGGTCAGTAGATAAAGTGAAATGTCCCGTGTGAAATATAGACTCGCTAGAGAATGGCAAAGACTAGATTTGGGTCTGTTTCTAATACCTGTTCTTAAGGACCTAGCTGTATTTCTCTCCATAACTGTTTTTCATTTATATTTTCATGAGCTATTAAATCTTCTGTACTATTTTTAACTCATAATTTTCATCAGTACATTAATGGTATGTGGTGAAAGAAAGTGCTTCGAGGGCCGAAGCCCTTTTTCTTAGTCCTTTACCTATTTATTTTAAAGACTTTTTGTTCTTTTTCTTAAAGCAGCAGAATCACTACAAACTTTTATTTTCCCAAACACTTTATGAAACTTTATGGTGTAACTAGTTTGTACCATGAAAATACTACTTGCACTTTAGAATGAGGCTCCTAAGTAAAATACTTTTTTAATTTCCTGTATTAGAGAAAATCCTTGTGCTTAACAATATTTTATGATCCTTGATAAAAGGTCCCTATTTCATTAGTGTGAGGGAAGCTTCAGACTTAGGATTTAATATTAATATTGGAATTAAACAACTGAACAAACAATGTTAGGTTCTGTTTGTTATACAGTTTAGTAATATCCATTTCCATTTCGGATTTATGACCACAAACTTTAGTGTTTATAGTAATATATTTACTATTTATGAATGTTTTATTCTTAATATTGATATGTGGAAGAAACATTATTATTATTTTTATTTATACATAGTCGTGTGTGTGTCTCTGTGTGTGTGTGTGTGTGTGTTTCCATGGCAATATTCATTTTTAAGATGAGACTTTTTCATAGAAAAAATGTAGAAAAACAAAATTTATAGGAAAATGTAATAATAATGAAGCATATTAAAGGTAATATAGACAAAGAGTCAATAAAGTTCATTGTATCACATAAGAGAAGTAGAGTTTAAAGTATCTGAGGAAAGCTTGCAGTAATTCTTGCACGGAATTTTAGGAGTCACTAAATAGGTACATAATTGAACAATAACAACTTTAGAGGAATTTTAGCTTAAATCAATCAAATGGTATGACTTTTAAAGATGCCAATGAGAGAAAATAAGAAGAGTTAGTTTTTTTTTTTTTTTTTTTTTTTAATTTATTTATTATTATTATACTTTAAGTTGTAGGGTACATGTGCATAACGTGCAGGTTTGTTACATATGTATACTTGTGCCTTGTTGGTGTGCTGCACCCATCAACTCGTCATTTACATCAGGTATAACTCCCAATGCAATCCCTCCCCCCTCCCCCCTCCCCCCTCCCCATGATAGGCCCCGGTGTGTGATGTTCCCCTTCCTGAGTCCGAGTGATCTCATTGTTCAGTTCCCACCTATGAGTGAGAACATGCGGTGTTTGGTTTTCTGTTCTTGTGATAGTTTGCTAAGAATGATGGTTTCCAGCTGCATCCATGTCCCTACAAAGGACACAAACTCATCCTTTTTGATGGCTGCATAGTATTCCATGGTGTATATGTGCCACATTTTCTTAATCCAGTCTGTCACTGATGGACATTTGGGTTGATTCCAAGTCTTTGCTATTGTGAATAGTGCCGCAATAAACATACGTGTGCATGTGTCTTTATAGCAGCATAATTTATAATCCTTTGGGTATATACCCAGTAATGGGATGGCTGGGTCATATGGTACATCTAGTTCTAGATCCTTGAGGAATCGCCATACTGTTTTCCATAATGGTTGAACTAGTTTACAATCCCACCAACAGTGTAAAAGTGTTCCTATTTCTCCACATCCTCTCCAGCACCTGTTGTTTCCTGACTTATTAATGATTGCCATTCTAACTGGTGTGAGATGGTATCTCATTGTGGTTTTGATTTGCATTTCTCTGATGGCCAGTGATGATGAGCATTTTTTCATGTGTCTGTTGGCTGTATTCCCTATTTAATAAATGGTGCTGGGAAAATTGGCTTGCCGTAAGTAGAAAACTGAAACTGGATCCTTTCCTTACTCCTTATACGAAAATTAATTCAAGATGGATTAGAGACTTAAATGTTAGACCTAATACCATAAAAATCCTAGAGGAAAACCTAGGTAGTACCATTCAGGACATAGGCATGGGCAAAGACTTCATGTCTAAAACACCAAAAGCAACAGCAGCAAAAGCCAAAATTGACAAATGGGATCTCATTAAACTAAAGAGCTTCTGCACAGCAAAAGAAACTACCATCAGAGTGAACAGGCAACCTACAGAATGGGAGAACATTTTTGCAATCTACTCATCTGACAAAGGGCTAATATCCAGAACCTACAAA